GCGCCCTACGTGATTTCCGGTCGCGCGGTCAAACCTCTCGGCTCGCTCTCTTCTTAAATAAAATCGTCCCCACGGGTGGAGGAAGGATTATGAGTAATGGATTGCTTTCCATTCGGAGAATCGAGATTCAGACGTTGCTGCTCCGTGACCCGGATACATTAGCCGCTCTTAGATCAAGTATAATTTCTTTCTTCCTCCGTGGGGACACTATGCGAGCTTTTTCTACCTGCTCGTTCCGTTCGAGTTTTCCAACATTTCTCTTTCAGACACTTCCATGCCGAACAAAAACGAACTTCCATCTCTTGTTGTTTCAGTGTTAATTAAAAACAATTTCAGGTTGATTCTGTTAGGTGTGGAAATGAATACTTTCCGATTAGATTCACAAAATGATTCAGAGTTTCTATCGCGATGGAAAAATGGCAGAAGGTCATCGACAATAATGGAAATTATTTTGATGATTGGTTAGTTTTCGTTCTTTTTGAAAAAGACATTGATTGTACCCAAAGAAATTCATGTCTACACCTAATACAATTACGTTCTAATTGTATATTCTTCTATTCGTAGTTTCTCAATTATAATGGCGTTAATTATCTGTCGGAAGTCTAAGGGAGGGTAGAAAACTATGTTTGAGACATTTGAAGCTTATTTTGCTGTTTCGATGTTAATTCAAAAGAATTCTAGATTTACTCTGCAATTGTATTCTAATTTTATTCTTCTATTCTTATCGTTGATCGAGATAAATTTTTTAATATTCTGTTTTCAGACACTTCGACTCGAACAAAATTTATTTTACTGTTTCCACATTAATTAAAAAGAATTCTATGTTGACTCTACACTTTCATATTCATTTATTCGTAGTTTTTTGATTACGATTAATTAATTTTTCATTAAATAAATTTTATACGTCGCTAATAATCTATTTATGTATGTGTGAGAAAGTAACTGTATTTAATGATAGAAAAAAAAACGAATTGGAACTGAAATTAAATTTTTCAAACTTTTCAGTTTTGTTTATAAAATAACATATGTATGCCGTCAGTAATTCAATTTTATGTGATAAAATGACGGTATTTAATGATTGTACAAAAACGAATTAGAATTGAAGTTAAATTGAACTTCCTCAAAATTGGAAATTGAACCTTTCAACATTTGGGGTTTTCTAAAGCTAACCAAGGGAAATTGAAACGATGAGAAGGTAGGAAAATTGATTGTTCATTACGTAAATTGAGGGTGGGCGTGCACCAATTTTTTTTCGTCGAGCCTTCCCTTTAAAACCTGCTACTACAATGACCCACTCGCCGGTTTTGCTCGATATATCGATTTTCCGGGTACAACAGG